CGTACTTCTCGTTAAACTTTTATATTATTAAATTACACTGCGATACAACCGATTATTTGAATTGTAATCTAATTTGTGCTTCGCCGGTGGAATGAATTTTATTTAATAATACATATCTAGACTACGCGATAATGGCGTATATTATTAACAATAAGTATCGCAAGGTGCTCATTACGCATTCATGTTTTTCGACAGGTTATCTGAGGTCTCAGATTAACGTTTCAGTTTTTACTTGTCATAACAACGACATAATTGCGCTTTCCATGCTTAAAAGTTATTTGTTCGATTACTAAATAAAATATAAGCATATGTACCACGACACGCATCGGTACCTACTTAATGCTTAATTAGTCGCAATGGTTTTACAGCCCTTTTATAACAGACATTCGCGGGAATGTCCTCAAAGTCACGCATTTTTATTCAATAATACTCTTATTAAAAAATTTCTTTCCAACGAAAATTTCGTGGCACTCTTTTTCTCAACAAATTTTTTATTTTACCCGTTGAATACATTTCTGCAACAGTTTTATTAATTTATAACTGTTTATTCTTGAAAAATGATTGCTACGACTCAATATTGAGACAATTACCTTCTTCTTTAACTTGACAGCTGAAATATTATGCTCCAAAAGAGCGACTTTTAGTACAGACTGTGGCTAAAGTTCGTTAATAATTCAAGTTACTATTATAGAAAGGCAAATATAATTAATACATATCTTTCTGTACACATAGATATATCTATTAACTATATTTATACACATGTATAGATGTATCCGAGCATATTTGCTTTCTTATGATGTGTAGAGGAAAGTCCCCTATTATGCAATAGACTTCTAATACGAGATGGCATGGCTTTAACGTCCAAATTTAATAACAAATCCTTTTTGCAACGATTACACAATCTAACAATGAACTTGCCACCGAACAAATTTTACTCCAAGAGCAATTTATAATGGAACCAACAGCTAATGCCTATTAATTTAGCAGAAACTCCGCTATCAGTTAAATTTGCTCAGATTGTCCACATTATCATGCAACTAGGTGACAATAGTAAGTGAGACAGTTAAGCGTCGATTCCATCCCACATCAGTGTATACGTATATACGTGGATATCCTTCTCAATTTTATCGTCACAGTGTGGTCTCGATATCAATTCAGAGCATTATAAATAGTTTACTGGGATATTTTTAAGTTTATTAAAGCGTGCGATCGATGCGATTTGCCGCGAATTATACGCAGTCGCGATTCCAAGAATATTTTTTACCCGCAATGCGATCTTGGCTCTATATCTGCACAGATAATTAAAATATTGTGAACGCACCTACGTACATTGGAAAATGCTGTTTAGGCACCTTTTCACTCGCCACTTTTGTGCTACAATCAATGTTCAAACTTAGAAACATAATGCAATGAGTTAGCGCAAGTGAAATTATAGAATTATATTAATTTTTGTTTTATATTTTTCTCTCACGCTGCACATATCTACCTGACATCCGCATCAGTTTTAGCAGTCTTCTTTAATAACGCATTCCCGCAGCAACGAATATTTCTTTGCAAGAGATGGAACACACGCGTAAATACAACGCGCCGCGTGAACGAAGCGATACGTAGTGTTTTTATGAAAACACCGAGATAAGAAATTTCCACGTTGCGAAAATCGCGACCGTGAAAGGCAAAACGGCAAAATTTGGCTCGGGAGCCGCAAGGCATTTTGTAAGCGCGTTTGGATTTGTATTCACTCCGCGCATATTTAGCTACTAATGTAGCTGCGGTGTATTTTCCACGTCTCTCTCATATTTCCGCGATATTCAAAGAAAACTTGGAATTAACTGCACATTTAGTCATTTAATTCACAATATTTATGACGCAATGCATAACTGTTTTAATCTCCACTTTCTTTTTCTCTCTCACTCTCTCTCTCTCTCTAATACGTGTAATAATGCAGCGTAGCTATCACTTTGCTACAATTTCTACATCTTCGCGCCTGCATTTCTGTGCAGAGGCAACGATTGTAATGCGCAGATTAAAGATTTGAATAAATTCCTGGATAGACGCGAGATAAGAATGCGAGCCTAGATCGTGATCTAACGATTACGTTCTGCAATCGTCGCTGTAGCGAAGAGATCCGACTGATGCGTCGCTATCTCGGGGTTACCTAACAGCACGCGCGAGGATGCACTTTCGGGCGACGTCACGAGCGTCCGATACGCTGGTCGGTCGGCTAGCACAGTCGTGCAAAGTAAAAATAAAACGGTAAGCTAGAAAGAGAGAGAGAGAGAGAGTGTGTGTGTGTGTCTGTGTGTATGTGCGCTAGAGGGGGGGAGGGAGGGAGGGAGAGGGGAGGAGGCGGCAATTCCGTTCACGCAACACGCGCTCCATGCGTTACCTAAGAACGCGTAGACGCGCAATTCAGCGTAACCGCACGGTTATGAAAAAAAGGATGCAAAAAAACAATGGACGCATGGTCGCGCCGGATCGATGAATATACACACGACGTCGGACGCAGACTATACTATCGCGTTTGACACGCAGGACCACAGGTGTCCGAAAGCAAGTGCAACCGTTGGCTGGTCCTCTCGCCTCTTTATTTCTCTTTTCTCAATTCTTGAGTATAAAAAGATCGGTCCCTTTCAAAGGGCTCGAGGGCACTCGGCTAGTTAGAATTAATTCTTTTTACCGATAATTTTAATTACCCCTTTCTTCCTTTACGTGAGTCGCGAGGTATAATTAAGCCGCGTTTATTTGCGTGCTAATGTATAAATATTTTTTTTTTACCAGAAAATTCAGTTAATTATATCCCGAGGTTTTACAACCCGCTCGACGATTGAAGGATTTGTTTAAGACTTTATCGCCAGCACACCTTGTACATTTTTCTTTCTCAAATCGTTGGCTACGTTGCGGAATAGTACATGGCAATTATGGAAAATGGAAAACGATTAATCAAAGCGCTAACCATTTTCAGCGTGATATTATTAATTATTAAGTGCACGTAAGGCGGAAAATATCATAACTGCGCCGCTTTGGTTTTTCTCGGTGAAACTCCGTGGTTCTACGCGTTCCTGTATCTATGCATCGATTGTAAATCATCGATTTGCTAATAATTTATGAGTAACGATCGCTCGATAAAGACCACGGAGCCACTTTTCTTCGTAGGCATGCCCTCGGGCGATACACACGTTTCGACGTGCACGGTGCGCTCTTTTCAGTAGGTATCTTAATAAAAAAGATTTTCTAAATTGCACAACAATATTTATTATTGTTGTCAAAATCGCGTGAATCATTTCAATTTACAGGACAGCTTTGTCCGAAGTATCTTCCTGAAATACACCGATATATAAGCTGTGAGGTATCTTTGCGAAAAAAGATAAATGAAATAAGTATGTAAACGTGTATAGATTTTTGCTGGCCATTCTTGGCGCCAATTGTCTGTTTGGACCAACGCGAGATGATACCAAATGTAGGTTGAAAAACACGCATTGCTTCTCTCTCTCTCTCTCTCTCTCTCTCTCTTTCTCTGCGTTGCAGAGACGAGCTGCAAGCACAATTCGCGTTACCTAAGGATCTATATAAAAGCGGAGTACCTCGCCGCGAAACTCGGCGATAGACGAGTACACGTGCATACATCGCTCTGTAGAGTTTAGCAGAACTTGAGGTATGCGTGCGCACAATACACTGAGAATAAGACATACAAAAGAAGAGAGGCGACGTATAGTGTTGACAAGGTGCAATAAAATGCAAGGGATAATTAGGGTGGAAAATGCGATCGGGAAAGAAAACGTACACAGAGAGAAAAAAATAGTCATTTTTGGAACCAACCATATTTTTATAATTCCTCCAACGTAATTTATGGTTGACCTAACAATATTATAGTTCTCATAACCACAATATTGGTCCATGCAATTATAAAAATATGGTTAGGTCCAAAAATGACTATTTTTTTCTCTCAGTGTACGAAGAGCTTTATTGTCTATCAAGCAGCGCGCACGCATACGCGTAGAACATAAATCAGTAATGTATTTGCTAATCGTCGATAAGGAAGAAACAAAGTATTGCATTGGCAGAGTTTTATATGGAGGAAACAAACTAAGATACAACGGAGACTTGTTTGTTTATTTTAACTGTACATAGTGAGATTACATCTATGAAAAGCAAGTTACTTCATTTATTAATATGTAAACGAGACGGAGTTGCAATACGCGCATTTACTGGCGTCGTAAAAATACCAATCCTGTCGAAAATGTCAGTCGCGCAACGCGCGTGGTTGTTTTTTCTTCTCCTTCACTTTCAAACGGTAACACGTAAAGGACAATTAACAGCTTGCCACCAAGGCTCGTTGCGAGAAGTTAAAACTGTCAATTTATTATCCGAAATGTCAGCCTCAATTAAGATCGGAGCGTCACGTCGAGCACCATCGAACTACAAGATTTATACGTAAATACAAATGTGTAAGTATTTCATCGCGCGCGTCTATTTCGCGGGGAATCTGACATTTCATCGCGGCCTTTTTTTTCCTCATCGACATCGGACTCGCGAAGGAGTCGATCCGTCATCGTCAGACAGGCGAAGGCACGGCTATGTTCCGTACTCGTGATCCACGTCGAAAATAATAATTAGCTTCCGCGCGCTGCAGCATAAGACGTCAGTGCGTGCGATACTTTTACGCGTCCCCTCTTTACCCTTCGCAGTACCCTCCCCCTCCCCCCTCCCCCCCTCTCTCTCTCTCTCTCTCTCTCGCTCAGCCACCGACGTTTTTTTGGTCCAACGACGCCTGGTGCCGCTCTACGAATCGCGAGATCCGCGAGGGAAACGTGCGCGACGCCGCTGCCGTTGCGTACGTGTGCCTCGCGTCTGTGTACGTACGTGCGTGTATCCGCGTCCTCCTACGTGCCGCGGGCGGGCGCGTGTGTGCGTGCGCGCTCGCGCGCACGCGCGCGCCGCCGCCGCCGCGCGGCGGTCCTCTGTGTGGGAGAGCGCGAGCGCGCGTGTGTACGCGGCGGTGCGCGCGTGAGCGTTTCACACCTGACTACAACGTGAGTCGTGCGAGCGACTGTCCGCACGTCGAAAGACGATCGCGGCCGCGCGTAGGTGCGCGAGCGACGCCGAAAATCGTGTTGGCGAGCGCGCGGATTTATCGCGCGGCGCTCACGGCGCTCGGACGCGCAGAATCGATTTATTTTGTCGGCACGGTCTGCGCGGCGAACACGGTAGGTTAGTTGACCGCGGGGCCGAGCGAGCGCTGAGCTGACAGTAGGCCGGCGACGTCACAGTGGGCCGGTTCGAGCCTTCCTTCGTTCGATTCAGGCAGGCTCCTCTATTCGTTTTACATGTAGCAAGGTAAATATTTTTAACGCGGTGTTTCACGACTTGACGAGAGAAACGTGGCCCAGTGCGCGGATTATTATTTTCATCGTCGTTACCCGTCGTCGTCGTCGTTGTCGCCGTTTTCGTCGCCGTCGTCGTCGCCTCGCCGTCGTCGTCGTCGCCGCCGTCATCGTCATTGCCGTCGTCATCGCCGTCACGGGGGCGGACGACGACCGTTTTGACAAGCCGACGGTTTTTGTGACGCGTGCGATCCCCGGTGTCGCGACGAAGGCGTCGAGTGGACCAGGAGAGAGCAAACGGAGAAAAGCATTTGCTCCGAATATGCATTTACTCCGAAGAGGGTGGGAGCAACATTTTCATCTTCCGTCGTACGTCAGCCGTCGACATCTACGTTACGCTCGCCGTGTCCGTTAACCACCGTTGCCGCTAACGTTCTGTCGCACTCGATCGCTATCGCCGCTGCTGCCTGTCACGAGTCTGACGAGCTCGTGGCGAAACAAACACAAACTGAGAGAGAGAGAGAGGAACCGGAAAAGTCGGATCGAACGAGAGAAACGGAGCGATCGACGCCGGAGCGAAGGGATTCACGGAGAGAGAAGGAGAGATGAATCGCGGTCTCGCGTGACACGCGAAAACCACGTTCGCGAAGCGCGTGCTAAGTTCCGCGCGCTCTCGGATCGCCAATTTTCGGGTCGGATTTCGATTCGCGATTCGACGATCGATTCCGTCCGATCGGTCCATCCGCGCTGCACGCGTTTCGACGGAGCTGTCACGGCTCGTCGAGTGACGAAGGACTCTCTCTCTCTCTCTTTCTCTCTCCCTCTCCCTCTCTCTCTCGCTCTCTCTGTCTGTCTCTGCGGAGCGCACGTCGCTGCACCGTTCGCACAACAGTGGAGACACGTGAAAACACGCGCGCTCTGACAGCTCGCGCTGCGGCGCGGCGCGTGGACGTCACGTTCGCGAGCGCGCATTTCTGACAGGCCGCTAGTATAAATCGGCGCGGCGACCTTGCGCGGCCCCGAAATCTCTTGGCAGCCGCTTTCGAATCTCGCGGCCGCGATCCCGTGCATTCGTTAGCCGTGACGTGCACGCGCGTTCGAAATAGTTCGGCTTCCTCTTCGCGGCCACGGAAAAACCTCGCCAGAAATCGCGGGAGCGACAGCGTGAGTGAGAGGGAGAGAGAGAGGGAGGGGGGGGGGGAGTGAAAAAAGCGATCTCGGGACGTACGCTTTTGGCACGGTGGGCCTCGCGCGTGCGACGCGCCGCGACGTGCCGCGACACACGTGACAGTGAACAGTGCAACGCGTAGCGCGCGAACGACGTGCTCGGAGCCGCTCGGGGACGACGGGCGACTCGCGGTCGTTTCGCTCGCGGCATCCGTCGTCGCGACGCGCCTCTCGAGTCCGTCGACGCTCGCGTCGCGAAACGTAGCGCGGCGGGCGGGAGGGAGTGTGAGGAGGAAATCAGCTGCGTTTATTAGCATTCGGCTGTACGCGCCCGTTCAGCCCGAGCGCGAGTTGGCGACGGCGGGAGGAGGTGGGCGGAGGAGAGGAGGAATATATAGAGGAATGAAGTTTAAGGAGAGGACGAGAGAGGTGCGACGCGCCTTGTGAACGTACGGGCGCGTGTTGTCAAGAAGGAAGGCAAGTTTGCCGAGAGTGCGTGTCCCGCGAGCCGCAAATACGGCCGGACGAAAATACCTCACGTGCGTCGAGATTGATGGGAAAGGGAGGGGGAGGGAGGGAAATGCGTAGGGGGGCAGGTCGTTTTTGGAGCACGATGAGGGAAACGAGGAGACGATCGGTGAGGAGCGTCATCGAGTGAGCGAGTTTAAGTAAAGCATGACGGGTCCTGAGGAAATCTAGAGCGATCGAACGGCCCGCTCCGACGAGAGTGGCGTCGAGGAGGCCTTAACTATTCGAGCATCGACGTATTCTCTCGCGGATTTCACTTCAGCAGCGGCAGAAACGGCAGTCATAGTGACGTAGTTCCGAGGTGGGCTCATTCTGACCGGTTGGTGCTAAACTGATCCAAGGCAACCACTTGGATCGACGTTGTGCAAAGACGAGTTGTACTTTTCATCCGAAAATATCTCCCGTCGACATCGCGAGTAAAAAGATGACGTTACCGTGAGATCAATGCGTAAAGATCGATCCGTCAAAAGTTTGGGGATGCGATAGAGACGCAACTCGTCTTTGCATGGCCGCAATTAACGAAAGACAGTACGGAAGAAACATTCCTTTCTAAGAAACACCTTTTCTCTAGGCTTTTTATAGACCCGTCTCACTCGACGTGTGTCGCGTGTGTGTATAGACTTTCCGTTTGTTATTTGAGTTTCTTGACTGACAACGATCCAATAATAGATTCTAAGCACGGCGCGCGCTTCGGCGTGAAATTTTCCCGCACGCCGGTACCCGCGCTTGCCCTTGACGGCTCTCTCACCCTGCCCTTACCAACCTTAACCGGTCGAATTCGCGGCAAAGGGGCCCGAAACAGCCATCGTCCCGTCGCACACATCGACGTAAAGTGCAAGTGGTGGCACGCGCTCTGTGATGAAATCCCGGCTGGCTCGAATCAACCTCGCCGTCCGAAGCTTCGATTAGAATCAACTTCCGTTTCGAGCTAATTTCATTAGCCCTGACATTTCCAACAGATTCGTTAGAATCATTTTCTATGTTGAATACGTGCCTATCATACTCGTGGAATGCGAATTGTGACGCGCGCCATCATAACGTACGAGGTGTGAATTATAATCCGCAAAATCCTCTCCGCCGGAAGTAAATATCCAATTGTTGTATCGCGTATCTCGTAACCGATCTGTTTCTATTGTAATCCGTACAATCGTGCTAAAGTGGAATTAAAAGTACAAGTTATCGGTGAATTATCGGCGTTTGATCAAACGAATCTTTATCTGTTTCGCCGCGATCCTCGACGCGATTATAAAGAACGCGATCGAAATATTTTTTCAACCGGCTGTGATATGACCACATTTGATCTTTCGTCTCGTCTCTAAATCGCCAATTTTTTTTCCCCTCCCCAAACGCTCCCTCGGCGTGTTAAATCTCAAGTACTTCAGCTCCCCTGTCTTTGGAGTGCAACGCCTCGTAGATGATTCCCCACTTCTCTCATTCTTACGTTTCATTATGCCCCGCGATTCTAACGCCTGTACGACGACGATAATAGCGTTTCCGCGATCGACTCGCCTTGACAGAGACAGACCGCGTGACGTATCGCTCGCGGCACGAGGACGAGAATACCGAAGACGACGCTCCGTCCTCGTTTCTCGGTTCGGCCCTCGCGCCGCGCAGTCTGTCTTCGTCAGGGAGTTGCATCCGATGTTCCGAGTCCGCGTGTTGTCACGTTGCGCGGACGTCACAGGCGTCGGATTTTACACAGAGCCTCAATAACGAACCCTCGCGACGTCGTACTTGGAATACGGCGGACGCTAAAAGCCCCCGCGATCGCGATGACGATATCGTCTCGGGTTCGCGTCGTCGTTCGGGGAGAAATTTCGCCGCGATTTTTTTTCACGCAGAAATGCAAAGAACAATTCATAACAGCGATAGAGAGTGGTTATTCCGCGACTACTAGCTGTTAAAATTCACCGGGAGAGAAAGACACGAGTCCGAGCAATATGTTAATCCGAAAGCTGTTTAAATAAATGAATTTTGCAACGGCAACGGTATATCTCGTCGCGAGTTGCAGGCGCGGTTCTTTCGGCAGTACGGCCCTGCGCTCTAAGCAGCATAGACATTTGACGTTTCGCGAAGGTCGCGTGTTCCAGCTCTCCCTCTCTGTCTCTCTTTTTCTCACTTTGTCTCAGCATGGCCTCTCTCTCTCGCTCCGTCCGCGTCTCGCTCCCATCTTTTTCTACTTCATTCTCCGTCTGCCTCCCGCGGCTCCCGCGCGACGTTTACGCACACGTACGTACGTACCTTCCGACATTTAACGATCGTTACGCGTTCAATTGTTCACCGTCGCCGTCACCGCCGAGAGGCCGCGCGCGACTTTCCGACGAGCCGAGCCACTCGTTCCGCGACGATATTTTCCGCGGCGCGTTATCGGCGTACGTGACATTGAGGATCGCCCGCGAGAGAGAAAGAAAGAGAGAGAGAGGGAGAGAGAGAGAGAGAATTGCAACGCGGCGTTAGCCGCCGCCGCTATCGTAGATACCGCGACGTCGCGATGCGCCGCGCCGCACCGCGCCGCGGCGTCGATCAGCTGGCGTCGCTTCGTCTCTCTCTCCCTCCACGCGACGCCGGCAGCATGCACCGCTCCCCCCCTGTGCCCCGTCGTGCGCGTACATACAACTGAATGCTAATGGGGCGTGCAGACGCGCGTTAGACATTTGTTTGACGCGTGGATCGTGTGTAGGATGTCTGGAAAACTCGTCGAAAAACCCGCGTCTAAGAAGCAGACGAATGCAAGTTGAAAGATTCGTGCCCTCGGAAACGAATCCCCGCGAGGCGTTTGCGTTTCTGACCAAGTAAATGAACGGTCATTGCGTACCGCGGCACAAAGTCAGTTAAAAGTCGATCAAAATCTGTACATGAGATAACGTATACATTTATTCGCGGTGCGTACTTTTAAGCCTAATCTACAATGTGCTTTTGTAGCCAATAAGTACGGTTAAAAAATTTGCGCAAGTCGATAAATTGTGTATTATACATTGTATAATCGTGCATCGTTGAGAAAGTTTTTAAGCGTTTTGATTTGTTTATATAAACTAGAATGTTTCTAGACGCAGAAGGCACATTGTAGATTAGGTTTTAAGTAGTTTTTATCTTACGAATACAAATTGTTTTCCCAAGACTCTTATTAAAGTGAACTTACTATGTCATTGCAACATTATCAGAAAATCATACCTGAGAAATTAAGTTCACTTCCTTTTCTAACAGATTTATTGTCTTCCTAATTGTAACAGGCATGTCAAAACTTACAGAACTATATTTACTTTTGTCTGCTTCTCCGGTACGGAAACATTTTAGCGATAGATTCTTCGGAAATTTCCAGTCGGGAAATTAAAATCGTTATTTTTAATCGCTGTCTAACTTTTCTGCAAATATTGCGCTGTCAAAGTATTTTCAGAATATATTAGAATATATTTTTTGCTCCTTCGCTTTCGAACATAAAATTGGCCCATTTAGCATGCGGATGATGAATGAACGAAGGTGTCGCATAGAAAGATAATCAAAAAGGTAATTTTCGCGTGATTAATTTCGCTGACTAGGGATGATCGCAAAGATTATTTTCACGTCTGTTCTATTTGTGTTGAGTTATTTATGTTCATGTCCATTGTCTCCCTCTTTTTTAATATATGTACATGTCGTTTTCATTTTTTACACTTGATTTCGTAATGCAATATCACGTTTTACGCATATTTGCACCGTTTATACATGTCTTGAAAGAATTATAGCGGTTATCACGCGACTGAAAAAAAGTTATTTTAATTAAACAATAAAAAGATATCACTCTCTCCTCTCTCTTTGTTCTCCGCATTCTTTTTCGATCTCGTCGCCAAACGCGAAATTTAAAAAGTCGCCCAACTCGCGCACCATAGCAGTGTAAAAAAAACAGCGTCGTCTGGCTATGGCGAAAGAGAGAGAGAGAGAGAGAGAGAGAGAGAGAGAGAGAGAGAGAGAGAGAGAGAGAGAGAGAGAGAGAGAG